GGAAGGTGAGGGGCACGTTGTGGACTGGGTGTCGGACGGGCGGCGGACATGCCGGCGGGACGGACGAGGTGGAAAGAAAAGACAGAGGAGAGGAGAGGGAAAGAGAGAGGGAGAGGGGGGCGAGCAGATGGGCGGGCCCGCAGCGCTCTGGGCGCGCGTTGCCTGCCGCCTGATTCAGTCAGTAGTGGTTTGTGTTGGTCCCCCTGCGGTACCCGACGAGCCCGAGTGTGAGCCGTCCAGCCCGGCCAGAACGAGCGTTCGATTGTCACACAGCAGCCCGCCGTCACACGCCGTCACGCCGAGATGCCGAACTGTCCAAAGTGCGAGAAGCCCGTGTACTTCGGTGAGATATACGTGACATGTCATTCGGTGCTTGGATGTCGGTGATAGCGGTTCGGTTTCGGTGTTTTCAATGTCAAGTGGCGCGGTGGCGTCCCGGCCTCTGCCTGATATTTTTGTTTTGTGCGGATTGTTGATCGCTTTTCAAGGAGTGCACCATCCTGGCCTTTCGTCTCTCTCTCGACTGTCAGAGTGCGGTGACTAGAACATGAGATGAGACAAAATGCGTCTTTTTCGGTGTTGTTGCAGTTGTTGTATTTTGTATTTGTGGCTTTCCTGCTCACCTGTCCCCCTTCCCTTCAGAGTCTCTGCCACAGCCGGACGTGGTAGCGTCGCCGCCGACTCAGCGTCTTGTACCACCACGAGTTTTCTTTGCCCCTCAGCCGCTAAAATGATTCTTTTAAATTGGGGGTGGGGGGAGGGGGGGCTCTTTATTCGTCTCTAACTCACTAGTATAATACTGGCTTTTAGTGCAGTCAGCTTCCAGAAAAGAGTCTCTTCCAGAGAATCACGGTATGGTTTAATATCAGACGGTGGTGTCGCTGTATGGGCGTGTGGTTGGAACAGGTGTGCGAGGACGCGGTGGGTCCCCTCCCCCCCTTCTCCTCCCTAACCTCCACCTCCTGACTCATTCCTCCATGAACCTCTCGACGCAGAAGGCAGCAAAAGATCACCGCTGCGTCCGTATTCCTAACGCGGAGAAATGTCTCTGAAAGGATTTTTCAAGATTAGGTGTTCGTTTTTGAAATCAAGCAGAATTGATATTTGAGCCCGACCGAACGGTTTCAAAAAAAAAGTGACGCTGATTTTTTCCCCCCAGTATTTAGTCATTCCATTCGAAATGATTTCTTGGTTACTTGCGCGTTTATGTCTCAGAATAACCTCAGCATGATGTGTCCGTTCCGTCCGACGCCGGCCTTTAAAGAAGTTCCAAGAGTTTAATGCGAGGTAGATGAATTTGTCTGTCTACTGTCTATCTGTCTGTATGTCTTATGTTTGGGGGGCGATGACGCAAGCCTATATATGAGTCCGATGATGTGTTCTCCTGAACTCTTTGACGCAGTGCTGCTGCCGACCTGAGGTGCGGCATGCCGACCCGCACTTGTCCTCGCCTCCTCCCTCCCCCCCCCTCC